AGGTCTTCTGCTCTGCTCAGTGCCCTGCCACACACAGGCTGAATCGCCCAACTTTGGCAGTGTCTCGGGCGGTGAGGGTGACCTGCCTGGTGTTCCTTAATCCTTTCACAAGTGCTTGTATTTCCGAGAAGGAATGTTCCTCTCATAGTAGCGTTGCTGCTAGATGCTTCTCTCACAGAAGCATTAACTTGCTGTCTTTTTTGTCCAACAGTGCCAAGCCAACAGACTTTGATTTCCTGAAAGTTATTGGCAAAGGAAGCTTTGGAAGAGTAAGTGGGTTTGTACAGATGGGTTGTAGTTTAGATCTGTTGAGAGCGGGGCTGAGAACAAACAAGACCCAAGACAGAGGTCTTTATTCTCATATTCTACTCTTGTTGGGATATCTTGCAGTCCCTCTCCAGAAAGAAGTGTTTTCTGTGCAGTGTTTTATGTCTTATGATGATGACGAGCAGTGATCAGCCAAAAAAAAAAAAAAAAGCCTTGGGCTCATTCAGCTGGCAAAAGATCCCTAGATAAATCTGTCTGGTAGGATGACAGGCCTGCTTCAAGAGGAATCCTTTCTCAGTGCTCATTTGCTGTTGTGTGGGTGATGTGTCTTGTACTCTTCTCTCTCAACAGGAAAGCCCTGAATTAGGGAGAGTGAACAGGTTGAAATTGAGCTCCTAAAATTTGGTGCTCTGAGTATAATAATTAGCACGAATGTTGAACTAGTGAGGAAACACCAACTAGCACAGGGCAAGAGACTCAAACTTATGACCGTGACTCTGTTGTAGGTTCTCCTGGCCAAGCGCAAGTGTGATGGGACTTTTTATGCTGTGAAAGTCTTGCAGAAGAAAACCATCCTAAAGAAAAAGGAGGTATGTCTACAGGAGAACCAGTGTAACTCCTCAGAGAAGGTTGGAGGAGCCTTTCATACCTCAGGCTTTAGTGGCTCAAGCAGGAGTATGTATTAAACTCTTCAACAGGGACTGCTCATCAAAAAGATGGGAATAGAGCTTGCCACTGGACGGTGATGTGGCTTTTGATAACAAAGTCAGCGCTTCTCAGTCCCTTTAGAGGACTGAACCTACCCTGGCTGTGCCCTGCATGGGGCCAAGCTTCTCCCACCCTGCAGCATAGCTGCTGTTTTTCCCTTTCCTTGGCTACTTCCATAACTACTGCTCAGTGTATTATGAGCAACGCTGCTAATGCAGTTGAAGTACCTTGTGGTTGAGTGAATATTCATGTACACCGCTGGTGTGTTAAATGTGGACTTGGGACCGCAGAGAACTGAGGTGGATCCAGGTTAGTGAGCAGAAAGCTTCCCATTTGGAGACTGGAGATGACCAGTCTGGATTCCCAGCCTCCGTCTGCTCACAGCAGCAGTGAGCTCCTATCTCATCTTTGGCTGGACCCTGGCTTGAAACCAATTCTGCAGCTTATTTTATTTTTGATAGCAAAACCACATCATGGCAGAACGCAATGTGCTCCTGAAAAACGTCAAGCATCCCTTCCTTGTGGGACTCCATTACTCCTTCCAGACCTCAGAGAAGCTTTATTTTGTGCTGGACTATGTAAATGGGGGTGAGGTGAGTGCAGACACAGCTGTTGTCTTTATTTAGTCATTCCCAGACCTGCTGCCTGCTTGTCTAAACATATTTGCTTTTGGCCACTAATGATGCTGAAGTGTAATGTTGCTTTAACTTCTGAGAAGAAACCAGTTAGAGGTGGCTGGCAGGCAAGTGAGGGCTTGCTTGATATACTGGGGTGCAAGTGAAGACCAGAACAGCATGAAGCATTTCAGAAATGACCTGCCTGTCCCTGGCTTGGACACCCCTTCAGCAGGCCCTGTCCTCACTGTGCAGCAGTGTCCTGAGGAGGTGTCTCGCCTCAGCCTGAGCTTTGTGGGGGAAAGGTTTTCCCGGGGGAAACACGTTAGCAGGGACATGCTGCTGCTCCAGCTGTTCCTCAGCTACTCCATGTGAGAACACTGGATGGAAAGGAGCGGGGCAGTAGGGGAAAAGCCTGTGCTACAGGCAAACTGTTAAGAGAACCTGGGAGATGCTGCATCTCTAGGACACGAGTGAGCTCGAGGCAAAACTTGCTTGTGTGCCAACTCTGGGTCTCAGTGAAGTGTTTGCGTAACACCATTGCAGGAAGTCAAACTTCTATTCTCTAAAAGCTCTTTTTGCTTCAACTGCCCTTTCACTGACCTATTAGAATCTGGTCAGGAGATATGGTTTACACTTTGACAAGACATCTGTGTTAACAGCATCAGGCTCAGCTATAATACGACATGCTAGCAGGTTCAGCTCAGTTTTCAGCTCGGTTTTCATCTGGGTAGCTGCTTTTGGGCTTGCCCTGGGTATCTTTCAACCTCAGGAGAACATGACACAACCCTCTCTGCCTGCAGCTCTTCTTCCACTTGCAAAGAGAGCGCTGCTTCCGTGAACCCCGGGCCCGCTTTTATGCTGCAGAAGTTGCTAGTGCAATTGGGTACCTGCATTCCTTAAATATCATTTACAGGTAAGATGTGCTCAAGTGTGCTCTTACTGTGTGTCATGCTGGGGAGGGAAGGGCTTCTGTGGCAGTTGTGCCAAGCACAGGACTGGAGTAGCTGGAGAACTGCCTGCTCCACACAACTCTGCTCGAGTGGCACTGCCCCCTGCAAGGGGGTGCTGTCTGGACAGGACTGGGCAACAAGTATGTGCAGCCTGGGACGGGGAGGGAACTGCTGCCGAAAGCTCTGGGAAAGGAAAAGGTCTAAAATCCAGCTCGAGAAACAAGAAATTTTGTCTCAATGCAGGGAAATACAGGCTAACATCTGACCCTGTGTGCGCAGTCTTCCTATTTTATGTGCAGATGTTGATTCCCAGCAGTGATGGGAATCTGTTCTCTGGGAAGGTCTTAGTGATTCTGATTGTCAAGTCCAGGCAGCTCCTGCTGTTCTCAGCTGACACTGTTCCAGATCAGGCTCTCCTAAAAACACAGTCAAATTTACTCAAAAAGTAATTTTTGTCTTGCAGGGACTTAAAGCCTGAGAACATCCTCTTGGATTGCCAGGTAGAGTCGCCTGTCTCGTTGCCTTCTTTTGGCTCCAAAAGCATTGGGATCTCAGATAGACGTGGCTCGCTTCACTGCAGGGATTTGGTGTGCGCCGCTGCACTTGTGCACGGCTCCTTTGAGAGGAAGTGAGCTCTTGGGGGCAGGAATCTGCTGCTGCTCTAGAGGTGTCACATGGTGTCACCTGCCCCTGGGATAACGGGGTGGCAGCAGAGCACAGATGAGTGTGCTGGGTGCCTTCACAGCTACATAATTGCAAGTGCACTGTAAAATCTAGCTCACTCTATAGGCTCTAGCTCACTCTATGTTTTAAGATGCCTGTAAAGTAAGGGAGGGGAAGCAGATGGGCAAGGGGCACTCTAACATAATGTGCCAGCCTGAAATACCTGCCTCTTCCTTAGGGACATGTGGTACTGACGGACTTTGGACTCTGCAAGGAAGGAATGGAGCAAGAGGAGACCACGTCTACGTTCTGCGGCACCCCTGAGGTACTGGAGGGATTCGCTGTGCCCTGCGAGCCAAGAGACCTGCAGAGGTTTCAGCTCTGAGCGGGCTCAGCACCTCTGAAACACGGACTGCAGGAGCTAGGGACCAGCTTGGGGCTCTTTGAGGTTGTCGGCCTGGAGCTGGAGTTAAAATAAGGCCTTTCCTGCACAGGGGAGAAAGGCTCTTTACCCATAAGAGCTGACAAGTGCTTTAAATGGGCTGTGCTGTCGGGGACTAGGTGTCCTGGTATGTTGGAAATGGCCTTTCTTGCGAAACAGGGGCCATTCCAGGTGACTGGAGACAACCTTGACCCTGGAAGTCCGGATGCTGGCAGCTGTGAGCAGGTTGTTTGCCTGTTCCGATGTCCTTGGCTTGCAGAACATGGAGAGCCCTGGCCCTGGGATATGCAGGGGCTGCAAAATCTCTCCTCTAGAGGACAGGACCAGGCTGTGGAGAACGTCATCTCCTGATTTGAGCAGACTTAAGTGGCTTCTGTAATTCCAAAAAAGCACCAGCTTTTCAGGCCTCTGGAGTGCCACGTGTGCCTTTAGGACAGGTTTGCTTGTTGAGTTGTGGTGGCAATTCTTTGTATGTGTTACCCACAAAGAATATTCTGCAGCCCAGAAAAACATCTTAGGGCTGCTGGCAGGTGCCTTTCAAAATCACTGCTCTGAAGCAAGTGGAGGGCCAGCTAAAAACCCCTGGGAATTGCATCTGGATGCATTTGCTTAGCTTGAACTGTGATCAAGTTTGTGCAGCTAGAGGCAGAGCCCTTCCCGTATAACTTGATTCAAGTGTCTTTTTCCTTCTGGCTCTTCCTAGTACTTGGCTCCTGAGGTGCTAAAGAAGCAGCCATATGACAGGACAGTGGACTGGTGGTGCCTTGGAGCTGTCCTCTACGAGATGCTCTTTGGTCTGGTGAGTTTTGAAGCTGTTTTACCCTGGGGGGGATAACTTTTTACTAAAGGCTATGAGGTCAGCCTGGTGTCCATATAACACATGATATGGATGATCAAATCCTACATTAAAGAACTCAGTTCAGCCATATCATTGATCTTCTAATGGACACATCTGGCACGTCTTCCTCATCCCCTCCCTGCAGTTAATACCTATGATGTGTGGTCACTTCCAGTAGTTCATGTTCTGTCTGCTTCTCCTCTCTTCCAAATTAGCCTCCTTTTTACAGCCGGGATGTGTCTCAGATGTATGACAACATTCTGCACAAGCCACTCCAGATCCAAGGAACCAAGACCATAGCGGCTTGTGACATCCTCCAGGGACTTCTCCACAAGGACCAGAAGAGGAGGCTGGGTGCCAAGACAGACTTTGTAGGTGGCTTTTCCTTATGGTTGGGAGAAATGACAGCTGGAAACCTTCCTCTTCTGAACATTCTTTTGTGATAACAGCACTGCCTTGGGGGAGAACTTTCCAAGTAGGTAGCTCTTTCTCCAGTCCTAAAAGGAGCTAATGGGAAACAGGGCTTAGGTAAGGATCATCTCATTTCTAGACACAGGTACTCTGTGGAATCTTTCAGGGCTCCTTTTCAGTTCTCATCTGATCTAGCACACCCAGCTTGTACAACTCCTCTGAACTGAAGCCTCTGTTTTGCTCCATGGAGGCCAATGCCAGGAATATACTAAGGAGCCATGCTTCAGAACCAAAAGGAAATGCTATGGGTCAAGCTGTGGTGGCAAGCTAGGATGCAACAGTGTGAGGTCTCTCTCCAGGGGTTTACCAAACCATCATGTCCATGGAATGAGGATTTTCTAAGTGGATTCTCTGTAAATATGTGGTAGCTCCAAGTTAGGCTTCAACAACTTGGCTAATGTGAACCCAGCATGGGAAAAGAAAGCTGGCAGAGCACTGACTTTCTCCCTCTTTCTCATCTCTGCAGCTTGAGATCAAGAACCATGTATTCTTCAGCCCAATAAACTGGGATGATCTGTATCACAAGAGGATTACCCCTCCTTTCAACCCCAATGTGGTAAGTGGGTATTTCTGTTGGCATCCATTTATATAGTGGCACAAATGGAATTGAGTCTTCAAGGTCAAAGGTTCCTTTCCAAATGTCTCGTGTTGACCCTGAGGTGTGCTGAAGTGCAGGCTCTGGACCTCAAATGTGGAGGTAACCTCTGTTTGGAGAGAGCTGCTGTGTTAGACTGTCCAAATGCACCCACAAGGTAAAGGTCTACTCGTGATATGATGCTGTGCCTCTCTGCTCCTTGGTTTAGGCTGGCCCGGCTGATCTGCGGCACTTCGATCCGGAGTTCACCCAGGAAGCCGTCTCCACCTCCATCACGCACACCCCCGACCTAGCAGCCAGCAGCTCCAGTGCCTCCGATGCGTTTTTAGGATTTTCTTATGCACCCACAGAAGAGGACATCTAGGTTTTTATAAAGGCTTTGAGAAGCCAGATTTTAACTCAATGGCTTTTATCCTTTTTGAAAGGAATTGTACTGTCCTTTGCTCATGGTTTAAAGAAACTGGGACTAACACACTAACTGGCTGGGACAGAGCAGAATTTGGTGGGTTTCCCTCGAATGACTGTTTCTGTGGTAGGGGAGGTGGGGCACTGATTATTGTTATTTTTTTCCCCCTTCTCCCTGGGTGTTTTTGTACAACTCTAGCGGAATTGTCTCCACTCTGTTTGTATTTATGGTTGAGGTACGTACTGTTAATTGCATTGGGAACCACATCCCTTTACCTACTTCTAGGTGGAGCTAACTCAGCCCAGCTCTGTTTTTGTTCCCCATGCGCACATGTGGAGATACTGATTGCACTACCTCCAGCTGTGGGGAAAGCAGTAGCTTCCTTAAATAAGCACAACTCTACTTAAAGTGGTTGGGAAAGGGATAGTTTGTTCACTAAGGGCCAGACAAACTGAACTAGGTTAGCTTAGCAAGTCCTCTCTCTAAGGCCAGCAAAAATGGGGTAGCTGCTGAGGTGGTTCTGTTGCTGCTGGCGGGTGCTGGAAATGTTAATATGAGGGCCTCACCCTGGGCTGAGCTGGCAGGGAACAGAGCTGGCCTGAGATGGGAGTATTGCTCCAAAGGCAGCCCCTGTGCTGTGCTGGTCCAAGCTGCCCATGTGTCTCTAGGTGAATGGGTCTTCCCCTCAGGATGGGGCTGGTGCTGCTATGCAGGGACCATGGACACAGAAATCGCAGGCAAAAGGGGCAGGAAGGGGCTAGGCAGCTTGGCCACCTCTAGCTCACCTTCTGGCCCAGGCCTGCCTGGAGGGAAAGGGCTCCTTCTGTAGCACAGGCTGCATGCTTTGGCCCTCCCTGAGTTGCACAAGCATGGGTGGGCCACCGAGCACCATGGAGCACAGGCCCATGTGGCCAGCAGAGGCCCCAAGTGCAGCTGCAGCCCCTGCACAGGGGTGACCAGCACCTCAGAGCCAGCAACGAAGGAGCTGGGCTCCAGGGCTGCTCCCACAGAGCCTCTCGCCAACAGAGGAGCTACTTATTCTGCCTTACTTTAAATGCTGGTATAATCACTTGAATGTTATCTCCTTACCCCTTCTTTTAAGAGAGTTATTTTGTATCAGGTGGGAGACAGAATAACTAGGGCCCTTCTTCCTATGTGCAACACAGGCCTCATCAAGAGCATTTCTAAGAGCTGTGGAACCATCCTGCTGGTAGGAAGCCTTGAGGGAAGATTTTTTTTTTCTTTTAATTACCAAACTCTCTTGTACATAAACTTAAAACATGATTTATATTAAAGTGAACACACCACTCTGCTTTCACCTCTGGTGCCTGTCTCTTAACAGTGGGGAAATGCTGCTTGACAGCTGTTTGTATGCACACAGTCACCCTACCTCCTCTTAAAAATAAATAAATAAATGAAGGAATTGAGGAGAGCGTTGAAAGGGGGCGGGGGCTGTTGTTGCCAACCCCCAGGCAGCGCACCCAGGCCTAACTCCGAGGGGAAGCAGAAAGCGGCTCCTCAGTAGCCGGCAAGCTGCAGCCACC